TGTGTTATCGTTCAAATATACCAAGCATAGTTTCAACTTAGGGCCCTTAATAATAAAGCATTTTCCTCTGCTGGGAATGTTCTTCAGCCAGATTTTTGTGTGGTTAGTTCTCCCGCCTTCATCAGGAACTTCATATCTTCTAATCACTGAGACCTTCTCTAACTGCTCCTTTTAAACTTCCAGTATCCCTGGAACTCTCTCTCCTTCTGCGTGTCCTTATTTTTCTCCATAACACAAATCATCATCCAAAGTATTGTATCAAATGCTTATTTATACTTTTATTTTATATAAACCTCCTGAATGTAAAATGCACAAGGGTAGGGACTTTTGTTTGTTTTATTCGTTGTAGTCCCAGTACTTATAATAGTACTTGGAACAAATTGGGTGCTAATTTGGTATTTATTGAGAGTTGAATTAATATGATATATTTAAGAATAAATGAATTTTTTATCTATTGTCTTATTTTTAATTGTGCATATTAACATAGTTTTTATGAATAATGTAATTTTCATGCAAGTCATTGTTATTACTCACTCTATCTCAGTCTTCTGAGCAAAAGTGCTTGCATATAACATGGTTGAAGAAAGTACCCACATCAGTACATTGTTCTTTCGTACTTTTAACCATAACATGCTTATATTTCTTATCCAATAAACGTCTATATCTTAAAAACAAGGCAAAAGCCTTGTGTATCTTTAATCCCTAAACAGGCTCAGAGCCTGGCACGTGGTATGCATATAGCAAACCAATGGTTAACCTGAAATCTAGTAAGTGACTTCAAGTAGGACCATGTGATTATAGGTGATATACAGATACCTTAGTCTGGGGGGGAATCAAGATGGTGGAGGAGTGAGTGGAAGTCTCGCTGACCTCTTCCCAAGACCAATCTGGAATTACAACTAAATTGTGGAGAAATCACCTGGAACAAACAACTCAAAAATAGTAAGAGAGGAGCCTTATAACCTCAGACAGACAGAATAATCAGCTTCAGTGCAACCTAACTGCTAAGAAGTGTGGTAAAACTCAAGAAGGTGGGCAGGGTACCCACAGGCGACAGCACCAGAAGGATGTTGAAACAGCCAATTGGATCCCCCTGAGATAAGTGGGATCTAAACCATAAGTGGGGATCTCCAGCCTATAGCACCAGAGCCCAAAAAGTACACAGATTACAGCCAGCTGTGAAAAGTGGCAGGGTTGCTTTCTGCCAGAGACAGCCAGCTGGAGATGCAAAGAACCGTTTAAAGGGCCAACACATAAATTTTTATTTGCAGCTACTTACACTGGTCTCTGGCAAAATGGGGGCAGAGTGGGCTAGAGATGCCCGAGGACAGGCTGGGGAAGGAGGCTTTGAGGAGACAACTGAGAGAGTAGCTAGTGGGATCCCGGTGCTGACTCATTCCCCATATGGCAGCAGCCATCTTGCTCAGGCAGACCACTATCCTGAGTGACAACAGCTTGAGGACCCAATAGCCCCGCCCCCAAAAGGGACTCGGCCCTGGCCTGGTAGTGCTAAAACCTGCCTGCAGAATACAAAGTGGCAGCCACAGATAGCAGATCCATGGCTAAAGGGAGTGCAGAGTGGTCAAGAGACACTTGAGGAAAGACTGGAGACAGAGGCTTTGGGGAAAAAAATGGAGAGAGTGATCTGCTGGATCTCAGTGCTGATTCCTCCCCCATAGGGCAGCAGCCATCTGGCTCAGGCAGACCACTCCCCTGACCGGCAACAATGGGAGAGGACCTAATAACACTGCCTCCAGGAGGGCCTCTGCCCTGCCGTGTGGTATCTAGGCCAGTCTGCTGAGTGCAGAGTGACTAGATTAACAGCTGAAGGAAACAACCACAGGCAGCAGATTCCTGGAAATCTCAAACAGACTGCCCAAAGTCAGACAGGGTCAAAATCTGACATCATCAGAAGCAGATCCTGAGAGAAAAAAACAGCGGTCTCCTGCCATAGAAGTTCACACCACACAGTCAGGAAATCAAGACGTATCAATTTAAGAAGCAGAAGCAAAAAAGAAAAGTCTCACAAATAATGGGAAGACAAAGAAACATGCCCCAATTAGAGGGAAAGGAGAAATCCCCAGAAAGAGAACTAAATGAAATAGAGGTAAGTAAACTATCAGACACTGAGTTCAAAACAATGGTTCTAAGGAAGCCCAATGAGCTCAGTGAGCTCAGAGAGAATTACAAAAACTACAGGGGAACTACAAGGGACTTACTGCAAACTATATCAGCATTAAAAAAGACATAGAAACTATCAATAAGACACAAGAGGAAATGAAGAATACAATTTCTGAATTGAAGAACACAGCAGAAGGAATCAAAATCAGACTTGATGAAGCAGAGGATCTAATCTGTGAGCTGGAGGACAAGGCAGAAAAAAGTTTCCAGAAAGAGCAAGAAAATGAAAAAAAAAAAAAACTAAAATAGAAGAAAAGGCAATTAGGGAACTGCAAGACAACCTGATACATAATAATGTCTGTATAATAGGGATACCAAAAGGATAAGAGGAGCAAGGGATAGAGAACTGTTTGAAAAAGTAATGATAGAAAACTTCCCTAATTGGAGGAGAGAATAAGTCACACAAGTCCAGGAAGAACAGAGGGTCCCATTCAAGAGAGGAACTCAATGAGGCCCACTCCAAGACACATCATCATTAAAATGGCAACTATCAAAGACAAACAGAGAATCCTAAAAGCAGCAAGGGAGAAAGAGGTGGTAACATAAAAAGGAGCCATGGCATGGCTAGCAGCTGACTTCTCAACAGAAATGCTAAAAGCCAGATGGAAATGGCAAGAAATATTCCAAGTCATGAAAAGCAAAGGCCTACAACGAAGACTGCTCTACCCAGCAAACTCTCAATTAAAATGGAAGGCAAAATAAGAAGTTTCCCAGACAAAAGAAGGCTAAAAGAATACATCTCCACCAAACCAGCATTGCAAAATATGCTAAAGGGACTGCTTTAAGAAGATGAAAAAAAAGAGTCTATGGATACCCAGTTCCTTTCACAGTCACTAATACTTGATATTACCACTATTTTTAATACTTATTAATCTGATTGTGTCAATGATGTGTTATTTTAGTTGTTCCTTTATTATTTGTTGAAACGAAACCTGTTTTTTGTATATTTCTTGCCTATTTCTATTATTTTTAAAAAGCTTTAAATGACTTTTTGGTATTCTTTATCCATTTTTTGATTAAAGCTTTGTAGAATTTTTGCCCTAAAAAAAAGCCACAAAAAACTATTAACTCTTTTTTAGATGTGTTGCAAATACTTTCCTATTCTATTACTTGTCCTTTAACTTTTTTTATATGTATTGTACTATATAGTCTTAAATGTTTAATATAGTCATATTGTCAATATTTTACTTTATAGCTTCTGGGTTTGAATATTTTACTTCAGGGTAAGAAAAATATTATTTTGTATTTTCTCCTAAAACTCCTTAGATTTTACATATTGATTTTTAACTCACCTGAATATTTTTTGTATAATATATGAAATAGGGCTCTATATTTATTTGTTTTATGTCAAGTAATAATGGTCCATGCACCATATTTGTTGAGTAAGCCTTATTTTCCCCATTGATTTGAAATATCATATATTATATTGTTAGATATGTACATTTGTTTCTAGTATGCTCATTATATTTCATTGATCTACTTGATTATTTCTATGTTGGTATCATGTTGTGTTAATTGTTGAGTCTTTATAATGAATTTAAATTTTTTAATATTTTGTAATGGATTTTGATGTTTAAAAAATAAATAAGTAAATAAATAAAATCTGCACTTAAAAAAGAAAAGAAAGAAGGAACTCCTGCCTTTTACGACACCATGGATCGAACTGGAGAATATTATGTTAAGTGAAATAAGACAGTTGCTGAAAAACAAATACCATATGATCTCACCTATAAGTGGAATCTATTCAACACAATAAACTAGTGAACAAAATAAACGACAGGCATGGAAACATGGAGAAGACTGAAAGTGACCAGAAGTTTTAGGAAAGGAGGACAATGGTGGAAAGAAGAAGAAAGGATTAGGCAAAGAACATTATGAGTGACCCATGGACAGGGACAACAGAGTGGGATTGACAGTGGGAGATGGGGGGGTGGGATGGGTAGAGGGGAGCAAAGGGGGAAAAATGGAGACAACTCTAATAGAATAAACATGATTTAAAAATTAAAAAAAATTTAATATACATTTGTCTGTGTATTAATATCAGTGTGCTGGGTGATATTCTAGAAAGGGTTTTGTTAATTTTAAATATATGCAAGATAAAATAAAAACCAATTATAAAAATTATTAATTTATTTAATAGAGTTGTTTATTTAAAATCATTCCATAACCAATATTTACTTTATATAAGATGCCCTTGTGTCTGTCTAGACATTAAAATATAGAATGTTTCTTAAGAAGTGACTATACCTAGGGAAGGACATAAGGTTATATGAGCATACAGTTTTCTTTCATACCAGTGCTTCTACATGAAGCCAAAGTTTATATTGTAAGTGAATTTGGGAGCAAAATTAAAAATAAAAATAATGACAGTTGTTTTGTCTTCTACCCCTTTGACACCTTGGTCTCTGAAGCACCACCTTAAGGCTCTGCTTTTAAATGTGTATCTACACTGTAATACATAAATACATAAATGTGTATACATACAATACATAATGTGTATTTATGTATTAACATAAATAAGGGCAATTTAATTAGACAATTTAGTTAAATGTCTAATTAAATGTGTATCTACCTTTTTGTAGATACACTTTTGTAGATCTACTTTTTTGTGTATCTGCTTTTAAATGTGTATCTACACTGTAATACATAAATACATAAATGTGTATTTATGTATTAACATAAATAAGGGCAATTTTAATTAGACAATTTATGATGCTGCTAAGTATATTATAAGAAGTATTTTTAAATCCCATTTTTACTTCTGTTTACAAAATGTTTGGTAACTCCAATTACTTTTTATTTTTCTCTTTTCTTTTTAGTTCCCAGCGTTCCTACAAATATTGCTTTTTCTAATGTTCAGTCAACTAGTGCAACATTGACATGGATGAGGCCTGACACTATCTTTGGTTACTTCCAAAATTACAAGATTACCACTCAGCTTCGGGCTCAGAAATGCAGGGAATGGGAGTCTGAAGAATGTATTGAATCTCAAAAAGTTCAATACCTCTATGAAGCTGACCTAACTGAAGAGACAGTGTATGGATTAAAGAAATTTAGATGGTACAGATTCCAAGTGGCTGCCAGCACCAATGCCGGCTATGGCAACGCTTCAGGTTGGATATCTACACAAACCCTGCCTGGCCGTAAGTTTTGTCCTTAAAATATATATATTTGCATTCAAGAAAAAGCTCTTTAAATGCTTTTCCATAGAAATCACTCAAAGTGTAGGTAAAGATTACTCTTACAACTTAAATTTTATATTTTGAAACTGCCCTGCTTGCTGTGACAACATCATTAACATTTAATAAATGCATTTCTATTTTTGCTATCTGAACACTATCTACATAAAATTGTAATGGCTTTCATGCAAAGTATACATATATATGTATGTGTGTACATATATACACATAAGAGTATATATACACATATATGTATTTGTATATATTATATATCACACACATTGATTTCTATTGTATTTTATATTTATGTTGATTTCTAATTATTGTGTGTAAAATCACTGAATGAAAAAATTACTGAGTTAGTACAGAAACTCATAACATATTTACTTTTAATTTCAATGAATACCAATGTCAAATTCATTTTCTGTCATTTAGCATTTTTCTCAAACTTTCAGAGTTGTGCAAAGGTCCTAAGTCTTATATTGCAACAAAGCATTTCAGCCTTCTCTTGTATCTATCATTAGACTATACTGATTGATATCAAGAATGCTTTGTCCATGCCTTGATTTTTCCTTCATATCTGAAGGATATGAAACCAGGCTTTACAATCTTTTCAGTGACTGTAGACTTGTACACACACACACAGATTTTTAGTGATAAATGATTACTGCTATAGTCGTTTCTAGACAGCGAAATATGCTTTGATCTAGAGGCTTTATTTTCTAGGTCACTAAATACATCTCTTGTTTCTATTCCCCAGAGTACCTGGCATAAAGTTTGTATAATGTGTCCAATAAATGTTTGCTAATGCAATTCCAGCTCTGACTGCTCCTCAGAACTCATATCAATATATTCACCTGATCAATTGATATCTCCCAAAATTAACATGGTTTAAACACTAACCTTCTCATTCACCAATCTTTCCTATCTTAATAAAGTGCACCATTACTCATCTGGATGCAGGAAATGAAAATCTAGAAAGTGTTCTTTTGCTCCTCAACTCTGCCAGTGTTACATTTCTGCCATGCTATCTAACACATCCCTCTACTTGCATTGCTATCATGTTAGTCCTATCCTTCATTACTGCTACCATATTAACCTCACTGACCTCCTGAGCTTGCAGGCTGATCTTTTTCAAGCTAAATCAGATAATGTCATTTCCTTTTTTAAAGCCATCCAATGAACTCCCATTGTTGTTAGAATAAAATTAAAAACTTTCAACATGATTAATTAACCCTACATATGACCTGGCTCTTACCTGGCTCTTATCTAACACTCTAATCTCATCTGTGACCACTTTCTCACTTACTTGTACCCTCCACTCACCGGACATTTTTAATGTTACCTGAACACACTTAACTCCTAGAATCTGGAGTTTTGCACTCTGTGTTCCTTTTGACTGAAATATTCTTTCACCTCCATCTTCCTATGACCAGCTTTTTTATAATGCAGACCTCGCCTTAAATGATTCCTTATCAGTTAAAACTAGGGATTTTAGTTGCTTACACCAATAAGAATAAATAAAATCAAAAGTGCAGTTTTGATAGAAAAATGGGGCATTGACTGAATGAATAAACTTTGAAGTCCCAGGGGCAACTGGCAGTTACCTGAAAGGGTCAGACAGGTACCATAATGAAAGAAGCAGGCTGATATAAGGCAATTGAAAATGGCGGGAGCCATGGCAAGTTAACAGAGAATGCACTGTAGTAGTAAGATTTCTCATGTTTTCAAAGAAACAGGAAAGTTAAATTTATTTTTAATGTGATAATACTCAATACCTTTTTTATGACAATTTGTTTTTCAAATTTAAAAACATTCAGTTGCTCAAACCAAGCACATCAGTAACCCAGATCTGGCTTATGGGTAGCTAATTTTTAATCTTTGGTTAAAATAGACCTCGTGCCTATTTGCTGCCACTAAGGGTTTCCACTCTATTCCTTATGAACATCTCACATGGGTAGTACCTGCTTCTACCTACTACACTGAATGAGGAAGTGGACTTTCTAAAAGCACAATTTTTTCAAGCACCCTAGACACTATGATGGAAGATGTTTGATTAGCATACAACAAATAACATGATCAATTTAGCAGCTGGTAAATGAAATACGGTATTCGGATTTTGAAGATTTTATGTTCTTAAGTTGAAAATTGGGGAGTTTTTCCACTTGAATATCATTGCTTTCTTACAGGCCCCTCCATGTCCTACCATCTTTAAGGCCTGTGACCCACTAGGACCCATCACTAGAATTTGGCTATTTTCAATTGCCTACTACTCCATTTTGCTCATTCTGGGGTTTATGGGAATAATGGTAGAATATATCAAATATTTCACAATCAACAGGAGATTTTCATAAAAAAAAATTAACGTTATTTTCCTAGCTTTACCAGGATGTCTCTCTTTGCATTTGGTGATTTCTTTGTTCTGTTCTTGGTACAATAGAGAGTAATATTGATTTTTCCTCATCCCAGTTTCCAAGTCTTTACTTGACTATTCTACAGAGGGACTTTTTCATGGAACAGTAGTTTGTTTTTTATCTGGTATTTTTCTTCTCTCTGGTGCTAGTATCTCATTGGCACAATTTTAATTTACCATCACAGAATACCTTGATCACAAAGAAATTTATCTTAAGTAGATCTTTTTATGCTACTTCTATTCCCTTTTACTTTTCTTTATCCTTGAGAGCTGATTTCCTACTCTAGTGTGATCAATAAAACAGAATTTAAAAAAATTATTGCCAGAAGATACGTGAAAATTTGCCTTTATTCCACTGTGATTAAGTGAGAAAAATGAAAAGATTTATATAGAGTGTGAGGCAAAAATAGGTTTACAGTTGTGAGTATGTAAAGCACAGCTTATTCTTATATTATTATTTATTATTTTATTTTCAACATGAATAACTGTAAACCTACTTTTACCCCACCCTGTATCTCAGAATTTGTAATAATACATATAGTTATTCTTAGTGTTTTCCATCTTACTAGCTTTTTATATGAATATTCATATGTAGCTGAGAAAAGTAAATCATTTTAATTGTGTAAGCAGGATAATGAGTCTAATGATATTTGAATTTCTTTATTTTACAGTAAAAAAAAATTTAGATTATATTATATTAGGCCAGGTAGAGAACACCTGAGATTACATTTGATGTAAAAGACAGACACCCTGGCCGGTGTGGCTCACTTGGTTGGAGTGTTGACCCATAAACTGAAAGGTCATGGGTTTGATTCCTAGTCGGGGCCCATGCCTGGGTTGTGGGTTCAGTTCCCTGATCAGGGTGCATATGAAAGGCAACAGATTAATATTTATCTTTCACATCAATGTTTCTCTCCCTCTCTGTCTCCCTCCCGTCCCCTCTAAAAAAAGAAAACAAAAACCCCCAAAACTACATATTTTATAACAAGTAATGTATATGGTAAACTAACATAGGATATAAGAATAAAAGAAATTAGAACAGTCCAGCTACAAAAGTCTTGAAGCAGTAGTATTTTTCAAATTAAAAGTAAGTAATGCTTACGTATTGATTCTACAGACCAAACATGGAAAGTGTAGACATTTCGAAAACATAAATAATCTGGATGAAAAAAATTTGTAAGTTTTGTATTACCTATCATTGATTCAAAACACTTTTTTTCATAATAAATGAGAAAGATAACATTATGAAAGTGAACAACTTATCTGAATTATATAAAAGAAAATCAACAATAAAAATTGGTAGAAAATTGCTATTTCAGATACATGCATTTTATTCTAATGGCATCAAGTTGTGTCCAAGCTCTTAGGAAAAGAGAACCGCTTATCAAAACCTGGAGCATCTTGATAAGGAGCTAGCAATTGGTGGCTAGTTTGAAAGAATTATTCACTTTGAATAACTCAAATAAAAGACCAATAAGTTCATACAATAAATATTGTTTTAAAATGTTCTAAAATAAGATCTAGAATTATAAAATATGTTGTATTTACTCTCTCTGAACTAGTAAAGAAGAAAATCCAAATTAAAGATCCAGGGAGCAAAGTTAAAATGCAAGCTGAGAATTAAATTAGATTTCTTTCTGAATCTGAATCTACCACTATACACTAGAGTGAATAAAGAAAACAATATTCAGCAAACACAAGCTAACATTTCTTTCTCCCACATACTCTGATCTAGATAATTGAAGCCAAATTGCTCTCCTTAAGTCATCTGTGTGATAGCCATAACTCTGTATTTCATGCTGAGTGTATATAGATACAGGCAAGCACAAACACTACAAATGTAATTACACAGAAACACTTAATTTGAAACATTAAAATTTTGCAGATCATCATATCAATCTTTTATTTTTTTTTGATTATCCCTATATTCAAAAGCAATTTGAATTGTGTGGGGAAAGGAATATAGACTGCTAAATATCTCTGTGAGGCACAATAGGTATTTATAATGTTGAGGAAATGTACAACTTTAAAAGAGTGTGGGTGTGAAATTAGTATGGAATGAAATGAGACTCTCATAATGTGCATCTCCTATGGACCACCAGGCCTGGAAGGCAGCAAGAAAGGAAAATTCCTGGGGTAGCACTTAGGTTGTGAAAACCACAGGATACCATACTCATGAGGAATTTTAACTACCCAAACATCTGTTAGGTTAAAAAAAAAAATTCAACAAAACATGCCTCATCAAAGAAGATTCCAAGGAATGCAACTTTATGATCTAAAAAGAAGAAAAGTGAAATAGAGGGCAAAGTATGCTTTAAATTTTTTAAAAATAAGACATTGTTAATGAGTTATTCAATTATTTTCTTTATGGTGTAATATAATGTGCTGAACTGTATCATGGCAGAGTACATGTTATCCTTCCGATAAAGAAACAATTATATAATGACAAGAAGAGATGTTAGCCATAAATGAATAGGAGATTATAGTCCAAGACATAAAGAACCCCATTTGATTCAGTGCATTTTTAGAAGAGTCCGTATCCTGGTGCCAC